GTCCTTTCAACTCGCTCTTTCCATCTCACATTCTCAGCTGTATACTGTCCTCCTGGTAATTCCCTCTCCTATAACCTCCTTGATTCCTTATTCCAACCAATCGGATCGCGCTTCATTGCTGGAGGAGACTCAAATGCTAAACACCAACGATGGGGTTGTCGAACATCCAACTCCCGCGGTAACATCCTGTCAAGTGTTTAAACTTCCAACAATTAATCAATCCTTTCGCCCATGAATCCTAATTATTGGCCAACATCCCTCAAAATTATTCCGATATCCTAGACATATTTATCACTTCCCAGATCTCTTACTCAGAGAGGACTACTGGAATTAACTCGTACCAGTAGAGTATAAAAGTCCTCATATGTTAACGCATGATCCTCGAGAACGGCAAGAAGGTTTCTCTTAGAGGATTTAATAATTGTCTCCGAAATACCACCGAAGATGCTGGAGGAGTGAAGGTCCACTTTATACCCGTCCGACTTAAATGGTTAGAAAAGGATTCGCTCTGGCCCTTAACAAATTGATAAAGCTCCTTCAACTAATTGGATGCTCCAACGAAATTTGTTCCACAGTCACTATTAATATGCGAAGGCAATCCACTTCTGGCAATAAGTCTGTCTAATGTGGCAATAAATGAAGGAATGGATAGGTCCGTAACAAGTTCTAGATGGATGGCCTTGGTAGACATGCAAACAAAGAGAGCTAACCAACATTTCGACTTAGAAGCATTGCGTTTACTGGAAATCTTCATAACAAAGAGGATGCCCTTGTCTATTCCTACTCGCTGAAAGGATCGACCCTCGGTCACGCTGAAAGATGGTAAGTCACTCATTTTCGGAGCCTGTGGCTTCACATTATTTTTGTGGCATGTAACGCATTTATTAATCCGGCTTCTCAGAGAAGGGACCCACAACTGGCGATAGATGAGCGACTGGACCAACAAGACCATGCAAGGAATACCATGGTCGCACATGGTGGGCCCCACATTACACCCTGGGGCTAATGGTCACACAAAAGTGCTGCTAAATGTGAATCTTTAAGTATCAACAGCGGTTGCTTACTTTTCTCAATTCTGGAATACTTCAATCTACCTCCCACCGTGAGAGCTCCGTACTGATCTAAATATGGTGTGAGCCTGTTTAAGGAACCCTTTTATTGTTTGCCACTGTTAAGGCAATTAATTAATTCAGTAAAGAATTTCCTCTGAACAAGCATATCATAAATCATCAAAGTGTAGCGGTTCTTCACGGATTCCTGTAGTGGCCCTGCACGTAGTTCACGCCCGCTACGTGACTGCGCCATCACAAGACGCTCATACCATGAGATAATTTTTATATTTTATTTCTTGTACTCTGATGTGAATGTGCCCTCTGAACTCTATTATAAATGTCCTTTATTGAAACAGATTGTAATATTTATCAATACACAAGTAATCCAGTAAACTAGTATTTCTTGTATATATAACTTTTATAAAATGTTTTTTCTTTCATTGTAAAACATGTATTGTAAAAATGTTTATTTTACTGAATAAAGATGAAGGTATATAAATCAATCGATAAAAAAATAAGACCAGAATAATCGGTTACGACTGTCGTTACCCATTTTTCTCATGAAAGAATGATCTCCTAGCCCTATCTGGATTTAGGGCTATCAGTCACTTACCTATCAGTATGTGATTTATAGTCATACCCTTCTTATAGCTGCCTCACATTGCCTTTTTCTTTAAGAATTGCCCTTAACCTTTTTGCTATTCTCTCTACATACAAGTCTGGATGCTGATCCATCCGTTTGTAGTCCTATATACTAAGTCAGGAGATTGATCCCTCCGTTAGTAATTCATCCTCCTACAAGTCCGGAGATCGATCCCTCCGGTTGTGGTTACCATCCCTGTGGAGTGTTAAGATTGATCACTTACACCGCAGACCAAGAGTTCAGGTGTTCGGGTGCTGATCCGCCTGATAAGGTCATCCTTCTATTCATCTTCCTTCATCCACTGAAGTCATCTTACCCCTAAATTGAGCAACGCTCAGTCGAGGCCTTTTGGTAATTGTTAGCCTCTGTACAATACCTCGACAAAAGAATCCTTAAGCTCGTCAGGAGTTACGGCTCCAGTAGCCAAAACATCGTGCTCCTGACACATCGTGCAACATTTAATAAATTTTAAAATTAAAGCAAAAACCCTTTGCAGCTTCAAGAGTATTTTTCCAGGTAAATCATTAGGTTTTTCAATCTCTAACAGAGATATTGACTTCAGGCAGAACGGATGGAGGTTCAATATGATAAACAGGCCAGTCAGAAGGAGGTAATGTAATAAATGCCGGGCCATTCTAATAAAGCTTATGTAAATGTATCTAGTGTGGTGTGAGACCTCTCGATTGACAATTGGCTGGATTCTGTTTTGTAGGAATATAGTGCCAACAACCGGGTTCTGTTACTTCTAAAATCAGGACTACGCGATTGGCTACATATATCTTAAATTCATGAGGCGGTGTCTGTAACCAATAGAGTACGTTACGAAAATCTGCATAACAAAATACTTCATTAATTTGCAAACGACTGTTAAATTTACCAATACACGCAAGTAGTCTGGAGGCAAGAAGAGCAGCGTTTTAATCCAAAAGAGGCACTGATTGAACCGTAAGTGGAGCCACCTTACTTTTTGCTATTAACAAATGAATTTTGGTAGCTTCTCCCGGGCACCCAACTCTCAGGTAGATCACTTACCCGTAACCTTTCTCGGAAGCGTCCTAAAAGGCGATTAGCTGCATGGATGATGCGTTCTGGCTGACAATACAACGAGGCAGGCAAACATTTCTCAAGCTCGGAAATTCTTCAAGGAAAACCTTCCAAAATGAAGACACACTAGAGAACAGAGTTTATCCCAATTAAACTTAAGCAGCCACAAACGCTGTAATATATATTTACCCGAAAAGATTACAGGACTGATGGACAGATAGAAAAACAACTTTATGCTGGGACTAAGTCCCTTTAGAATAAATGAAAAGACTACTTCTGGCCTAAAAGTTTGAAATAATTAATAAAATTTAAAAAATAAACTAAAAAGTGAAGAATACCTTAAGTAAACAAGGTATATACAAAACAGATAAAACTATGTACAAAACACTTAAAACTGTGAGAAAAACATTTAAAACTATATGTAATGGTAGAACAGCATAAATATACACTTTAAGAAATGGAGAACAAAAAAGAGACAAAATAAAATAAGTTCTTTTCATAAGAAAAGTTTTATTTAGAAAAGTGAAAGTTGCATCTGCCAATATAAACCTAATTATATAAATGCTGGATAAAATGTAAATGCATCATAAGAAGAGCGTTATCATTAGTTACGGAAGATACGTTGGCGTTTAATTGTATATAAAAAAATTGTTAGTGATAATTGAATAAAAAAAAAAAAAAAAAAATAGATATATTGAGTGGCGTCGAAAGTAGGAAATACATGTACTATCCCTAACAAAGAACAGTATTATTGTATGATTATATGATTTCTATGCAATACATATATAATTTCAATAGTAAGCAGGTATCTGACTGTTTGGAATAGAGATTGAAGTGATTCTTGAAGTCCTATGAAATGTAATTACACGAGCAATAATACTTTAAGAGATAATTTTTTTATATTTTATTTATAAAACATGGTTATATTTTACCATTTTGGGGGAAGGATTCAGCCCGAAAGCTCTCGTAGTTCCGCCCGTACATTAACTTATAATCAAATGTAGTTAATGGTAACAATAAAACAGAAGGATATCATCAGTTTATTGCAAACCGCCATTAAGTGACATTTCATGATCTTAAATCATTAAAAAATTTGATAAATTTCCCCTTATAGAATAAGAAAATTTTGGACTTATTGTATTTGGTATGTAATTTTGTAACTGTAATTGATATGTATAACGATATGTGTCAGTTTAGTGCTCTAACTGTACTTTTTATCGGTAAATAAGGTCGAAATTCACTAAAACGTTCTTAAAGATCTAGCTACATTAAAAATGTACTTAAGAGATTTTTTGAAACTAGCCGACGATATTTTATTATATAATCTTATTTTTTAATACTTTAGCTAAGGTAATTAAAAATTATAAAATTAAGAAATTAAAAAATCAATTAATATGGAATTCAGTGTTATTCATCTCTAGAAAAAGGTAGGAAGGTAACTGACTGCTTTGGGGAAAGCAAGATCGCTACTGACATTGTTGACAATATTGACTTAATACAATTGACAAGTGTAGGGGTCTTCAATACATTGCCTTCAATGTTATTGCTTCAATACTGAATCAATAATATTGACAATGTAACAGGCCCTTAACAATCTCACACTTTGCTCAAGAAAATATAACTTTTGTAACCTATTTGACACCTATTAATTTCGAACTTTCCATTCTTCTACCAATTTTACTTATATGTCCAATGATTTTACTTAAAAGGAACCTCTATTAAAGATTTATCTTAGAAATATTTGTAAAGTAATAGTTGAAATAACAAATATATATCATGGAAAATAATGAAATTCGGAATACTTTTGACTCAATATAAATATTTATATAAAACATATGTGACAACCTACTTTCGATTTTAGCTTGTTCGATATTATTGATCTAGTAAATAACTACATCTTAACTAACACATCTTACAACCTAACCTGGCCTTTTCTGTTTTTCCATTGTTTTGAGTGTTAAGGTTTTCCTTAAAACATGTCTCTGAAACAGTTCAATGTTTGACATTGCATTATAAGAATTGTCTAATGGCCCAAGTATTTAAAATAAAGTGTTTTTCCCCTTCGTTATATTGGTAAATAAAATTATTATTTTCATGGTCTTTTTTTTTTTTCTCGCACGCTGATGGATTTTGACTCTTTGTGCATTGTCTTCAGCTAAACTTCCTAGGCAGTTTAAAACTTGGGAATTTAAAAATATGAAGATGTAGCTGTTCAGAGAATTAAAAAAATCCTTCAGTGACCTATACTGCACTCATATAGGATGGACCAAGATTCCATTATAAATAAAGATGCGGGCGATCCCAATGAACTTCAGATTTCTTCTGATGAAACTTTGGATAAGAACAGGAATATTCTTGATTCTGCTAAGAAAGCACTTAATTCAGGTTTGCCTTATACACGTTTGTATGCCCATAGATTGTTTTTATAAATTCATTTTATTTAATATTACTTAAATATGCTAATAGTATAGAATGCTGTAGAATTAGTACTTTAAATTTAGTTTAACAGGATTACTTCAGACAAGTTTTAATCATTGCTTTGGATTGTGATAGTTCTGAATTTCGTTCAGATAAAAATATGAGCCATGAAGATTTTGTAATTAATATGTACCAATTAACATTATTTGTATTATTTCAAATATATAATATATTCAAATAACACGATTAACGAAATTGATGGTAGTGTATGTTTCAACGGCCAATACCACTTTGCCATAAAAAGGAGGAAATATCAGTTTTGCATATATAAATGAAATCTAAGTACAAGTTTACGAATACGGTGTATCATTGACAGATAGGTCAAGATCACATCATTAACACTGTATACATCCAAGTTTGTCGGAAAGATCACCTAGGCGACCTGTGTCTTGACCTTCCTTTGAAATAAATTATGGAAGGTATTTGATCATTAATGGGATGAACAATCATGATCAAAACCTTAAAGGTTTTTGACAATTATTGCAAAAAATATTTGGTCTTTAGCAAGACCTAGTCAATCAGTGAATTTAGACTTCTCCACAATGCCGAATTGCATTTTTTACCCAGTATGTTGTCATATCTAGCATATGGAGGTGGCTTATTATACAGATAACCAACTTATTTTAACTAGGGTGGGAGGGTTAAAATTCATTCCGTGAATCTTCTAAAAAATAAATTTCAACCCACCTAGGCCAGATTAGAACCTGTATAGCTAGTTTCTCAGTTTCTAGAACTCGAGTTGCTAGGTTTCTCAGCTGTCACTACCTTGAATGATATATACCCAATAAATATAATATAATACTGAAACTTTTTTTAGAGGTCCAAGTTTAAGCCCTTTAAAGAAACCCTTGTGAATTTTGGCAAGATGTTAAATAATTTAGGCTTAAATTTCAAGGCTGCAATCAAATTGCCTGCCAGGAGTAGGTACAATTTTATGAATACTTACTGTCCAAATTATCTACTGATTTCTAATTGGGAGTATATATGAAAGTAACCTTAAGAAAGCAACAGGAAAAGACCTTATTTATTCCAAATGAAGTTTTTAAACATCTCAACCTATCTTAGAATGATTTGTTATTAAGGCTTGATTATGTATTTCCTGCTGGATCTCCCCCTAAAGCTTAATTCATAATTAAAATAAAGTTATATCCAGAATATTCTTTGTAACAGGCTATGTAGAAATCATAAAATGTGGAGGAGAAGATATGGTCAAGTGCCTCCAGAACCTCTTTCAAAAGAAAGATTTTCAAGAAAGCCAACCAGACAAAATGCGAGAATTATAGACCAATATGCCTATTCTCTGTAGTATATAAATTATATACAAGAATATTGAAACTGAGGCTCAGGAGATTGGTAGAGCATGATCTGGAAGAGGACCAGGCTGGATTTAGACTTGAAAGGCAAACCCAGGATGATATTTTATCCAGGCTGCATTTGATTCGATTCCTTGCCAAGAGATTTGAAATGCTTTACAGGAATAACTGGTGCCATCCAATCTCATCAGCGCTATCAAATTGGTATACCAGGATTCCAAGTGACTAGTGGGGCTTAACAGATCTGAATTGGAGCCATTTAGGTATTATAAAGGCATCAAGCAAGGTAATAGCCTAAGCCCACTATTATTCATCATATGCATGGATAAAGTATGGAAGGTTTGTAAGCGAAGGATGCCCAAAGCACCTATGGAGTACTGGAATTTAATTCCTGTGCAGGCACAAGCTCTCCTTCCTATATGCAGGTGACGTGGTCCTGATTGCCAACACCAAAGAAAGGCTTCAGATGGCTATCAATGAATGATCAGAAGAACTTCAGAGGAAGGGAATGGAAATAAACCTTACAAAGAGTAAGGTGATGCTCGTCGGCTGAAGTGTGGAAGACCAAGTTCTCATAAAAAGTAATAATGAGCTATTAGAAAAGGTAGATAACTACCAGTACTTGGGCACGATTTTCAGTAGAGACAAAAGGATCGACCAAGGAGGTTTTAAATAGAGTCAAGAAGGCCAATGGTGTGTTTTACTCTATCTGCACTACAATATTACGGAAACAGGAGGTAAAAAAGAAAACAAAAATAGCTTTGTTTAAAATAGTATTTTTGCCTGTCCTTTTATATAGTGCAGAGTTGGACGGTTCTGGACAAACATACAAGTAAAATAACGGCCATAGAAATGAGATACCTCAGGAGAGTTCTTGGGAAAACACAAAGAGACCGCTGGAGGAATTATTGAATATAAGGCCTGTAAAACAATTCATGAAGGAGCACCAACTGAAGTGGTTTGGCCATGTGTACCGGATGGGTGATAGCCGAAAGGCAAAATGGTTCCTAGAAGCAAATCCAGAGGGAAGGCATTCTAGAGGCAGGCCCAGGCTGTTGTATTGTGACTGCATGGAGAGACTCGGGTGAGCCAGAGATAGCACCATGGTGGATATGAGAAGGAGGGCCAGTGACAGGGATCAGTGGACAGGATGTGCTGAGGCTGTTCCTCCACGCTGATGGCACGAAGGAGGTGACAAAAGAAGAAGAAAATGGGATCCCAGAATATTTGAGGGTGTTGTGATTGTGTTTTTTCTTTGTCTGGAGCTCTAGATATTCATTAAAGATTAAAAAGAGACCAATTAAAAAGACTACCAAAGAACCTTTTATTTGATAGGAGGGGTGTTTTTAAAAATGTAATAATCTATTACTATTATCTTCCCTCTTTGTCCATTCTGTAGTCAATATCCCAGTTTTGCCTTTATGTATGTTTATATCCGAAAACCTTATTACTTAATTTTCTTCTATTTCATTTGTGAATTTTAGATTTGATTTACTATTTAGGATGTTCATGAAATCTTTAACATCATTTTTTTATATTATCATCGATATGTCATCAATATATTTAACAACCAATGGTATTTCTTTTTTGTATTCATTTGTTGCTCTATTTAGAACCTGATTCATTATTAATCCTCCCAGATTCGTGCTCATGGATGATCCCATTGGGATGCCATTGATCATTTTATAGAACTCTTTTTTTTTTTTTATATACGAAGAAATTGTTCTCACTGCGTAGTTTAACACCTTCTGTGTATAATATAAGATTTTTAATTTCAATGTATGGTTCTATTTTATCCCAGTTTCTTTCAATTATTTTTATTACTTCATTCATGTTTATGTTTGTGAATAAATTCTCCACATCAAAACTGACTAAGCAATTTTTGCTATCCACTTTTTTTATTTTTTCTAACATTACTTTGAACTCCATTGAGTTTTTAAGATCATAGTTATTGTCAGATTTTTGGTTGTTGAGTGTGGGATTAAGATATTTCGCTAATCTCTCAATGACTCCATTAATATTACTAACAATGGGTCTCAATGGAGCAACACTTTTGTGTAACTTTAGAATCCCATGTGTCCTTGGAGTAATATAGTTAGGATTAATTTATTTTATTTTTTAATGAAATTATTCTTTATTAATTTATCAATGGCTTTATATACATTCTTAGAGAGGTCACATAGAATTTTATTATATATAAGATCATTGTCCCACAAATTCTTCATTTTATTATCATAATCAGCTTATTCCAGCTGTTTTCTTAGTTTTATCAGACTTAATTATGTTTAGTTCTGTATTATTTATTATATCTGTGCGTAGCCACTGTGGAGGAGAAGTGGAAATACAAGTGGTGAAAAATACAACCTTTATTTATATAGTAAAATATTATTTCACCTAAAACATGAATTTAATCATGAATAATTAAAGGCTAAACAGGTCAATTCAATTCAAAGAGGACTTATGAACTTTTGGTGGACTGCAGAGTGATGTAATAAAAACTTTTATAAATTTAAGTGATAAATATGTAAAAGGTAAGGTCAGATTAAGATACCTTGGTGAATTTAATAATTCAAAAAACAGATTTCCCATTCATATAATTAAAGTCATTATGCCTATCGAAAATCTATTCAACACAAATTTCCTTAACAGCTGTAGACCAAACCATAGAAACGTTATTTCAATAATACTGAAATTGAAAGCAGTGAGAAAAACAGCTATAAACATAAGGTATTGGAATTTATTTATATTACTAAAAATCTGGAAAGTGTGTAATTTTCAGGCAGACACGAAAGGGTTAAATAGTACATATGTAATAATAGTAATAATAAAACATTTCATTAGTCTTCATGGGAAATTAGAAGAACTCTTCCAATCTATGATTGAAGATTCAGCAGAAGTAAATGGTTCCAAAAGAGGAAGGACCTAACATAGAAACTAAAAACTTTAACGATTTTCAAAATTTACACGATAGCAATACTTACCCTTACTATATATTACATATATAGGTAAGTGAAAGTAAAAAATATATAATTTTTTACAAATATTAACAAAGCTATAATAATTTAAGTATTTTTTAAGATAAATTCATCAAGGCTTGAACCTTATGAGCTTTCAGCTCCAGCCCTTAAGGTTCCAGGTCCAAAGGTTCTAGACCTCAGTCTTCAAGATTGGAGCATTAAGGGTTCCAGTCAAAGATAAAGTCAGAGCTGGAAGCTCATTTTTACAACACTACTTAAGATGGATTATGGACGCATTTTTAAAGCATTATCTATATTAATAAAGAAGATGAAAATTTGACCTACAGTAGTATTATTTAACTGAATGTAAAAAGAAATATTACATTCCAAAACATATTTTCATAATTTTTAAGAAAGTGGATGTTTTATTCATTAATGAATTTCAAATTAACAAGAATAAAACAATATTATGATGAAAATGACTTTTAACATTATTCAGGTCTTACAAGGAAAATAAATACAACTCTATCAAAGCTCAGATTTAGACATTGCTGAGTTGAGGTTTAGAAACATGGACTAATTTAAAAGCAGAACATAGTTAATTGTTTATATGTTCAAGGAGATTTCTTATCAAATT